AGCAGGAAGATGGCAGCGAGTGAGGAATGACAGATGAGACAGTGAAGGCAGAAGAGAAAACCACTTTGAGAAAGCACTGTTTCAAAAAGAGTGAAAGTTGGTGCGGAGGCTAAGGACCATTTAAGCTGATGTAGTCACAGAATGGTTCCAGGACTAGACAGGTTGGGTCAGAACAGAATAAAGGTGTGAAAAGTGATGTGGCTTCAGCAATTAAAGGTCCTTTGACAATTTTGCACTGCACAAAGAAAGGTCAGGAAGCAGTTGGCCAGGACTCCGTTTTTTTTTTTTTGTTATTTTAAAAGCATGGAAAGAAAAACAGTCACAGGTATGGATCTCTTCTTTTTGGCTGACAGTTCCTTGAGAAATCACAGAAATAAGAGGCCTTTCTCTTTAGGCCTGTAAGAGCCAGATAGCTCTTTAAAACATTGACCTTTCTCAGGCCTGCAGTTGGTGCTGTGCTCAAAAAGTTTATCAACTGCCACACTGGGACAAAACAAGGCAAAGCAAACCAAAACACTCAGATGTGTAGTGTGTACTGATTTCAGTCGTGCAAATACTTCCCCATCACTCATTTTTTTAAAAAAATTGAATTTATTGGGGTGACATTGGTCACTAAGATTATAGGTTTCAAGTGTACATCTCCACGATACATGATCTGTATATTGTATTGTGTGCCCACCACCAAATTGAAATCCTTCTGTCACCATACACTCAACCCCCTTTATCCTTCATCACTACCACCCCTTTTTTTCTCTAGAAACCACCGTACTGTTGCATGTGTCTAGGAGTTTTTATTTGTTTTTCTTGTTTGTTCATTTATTGCTTTCAGTTTTATATCTCATATTTGAGTGAAATTATATGGTTCTTAACTTTTTCTGACCTCATTTAGCATGATATTCTCAAGATCCATCCATGTTGTCTTAATGGCATTATTTCATCTTATGGCTGAGTAGTATTCCATTGTGTGTATGTACCACATCTTCTTTATCCAGTCCTCTATAGGAGGAACTTTGGTTGTTTCCATGTCTTGGCCATTGTGAATAATCGCTCCTGTTAAGATGCCATTAGAGCCATTGGAAAAGGGATTAGAATGAGGTGCACTCCATGGATTTTGTGAGCCTCTGTGGATAGCACATGGGTGTGGCCTCAGTCTCTTCTAAGTCATGCTTCCAGGAGCACCATCTTCTGGCATGCATGCCTTGACTAAATATTTGGGTAGAACTAAGAATTTCAAGGGAAGCACTCTCCAAGTGTCCACTTGGCTCCATGTCATATTTTCAATTTTTGTGGCTTTGCATCTGTATCTCCACTTAGAATGTGCATGAATGGTACACTCATCAAGCACAACGCCAACTTGGAACTTGTAGGACAAATGTGATCCACCAAAGATTATTTTTTAGAACAACAAAAAATAAACCAATAGGAAAAAGGTGGCAGAAATCAATGGCTCGTGAAAATAGAATTTAAATTGGTAGCCTTTGTGGTTCAGTTATCCAGAGGAGACTTTGATTTCATGCCTTTGGACAGACAGTAGCTGCTGTGCTTATCTGTGTTGTTCTGTTGCCATGGCCATGTGACAGACAGATGCACTCCAGGCCCCGGGAGCAATCTGCAATCCTGACAATGGCTTAAGACAGAACAGTTTCTATTCTCTGAGCAGGGGAGTGGGGATGGACAGAACACAGGGCTGAATTCACTGTATCTAGAAGTTCTCACATTTAATTCCACTGAAGTTACCCATGAGACTGGGGCATTGTAAAAAACTTCCCACATAAGAAACATAGTCTTGGAGGAAACCTTCATGTACCCTTGTCTTCTGTTTCTTTTTCATTACAGGGGTTCCAGGAATAAATCTGCTCTACCCATCAGTGTCATCAATCTAAGATCCAAGTGGCCACACACATATTATCCAATTACCCACTAAAATGTTTTTGGGGAATAGTTTTTAAATAATATATTTTCATGTTATCAAAACATGTAAAAAAAAAAAACCTAACAGTGAATAATGAAGGAAAGGAAAAACACCTAAAATCTGAGAGGCCCCTATGTCATTTTGTCTTTTTTCTTTCTAGCTCTTTTCTATTGGTTTTCTACTATATCATTTCATCCCCAAGGTGTTTAGAACAACAGTGTGTGTTTCCAGTTCATATCCTACTATTGGAAAGAAGTATTAGTGGGTAGATGCCAATGAGAGAAATAAACATGTTAGCATATCCCACTTTCTACCTTTTCTGGTCCCAACTCTGTAAATCACAGACGTGAATACAGGCTGGTGTAAACAGTCAGAATATTTAATTCCCTCGTTTGAACTCAAGGAAAGTGTGGGTTGGAGGGCTCTCTGGGAAAGAGCGCAGACCTTGTGTTTGTTTAATTACTGGATGCTGTTGAGTTACCTCATTAGGCCCATGCAGATTTAATGATGCTTTACTGAGGGCGCATTGGAAGGTCCCTGCAGAGGGCAAAAGATTGTTTTCCTTGAATATTTCTAAGGCATTTGTAACCTCTTCTCTATAATTGCCCTATTTGTTTATGACTTTCTTTTAATAGCACAGGCCTTTTCTTAAATGATTGCATTTTTAGCCTATCATCATTCCTCTTGCACAGCTCTGTGGATTCTTCTTGCTGAAGAGCTGATGACCCATTGTTACTGAGCCTCTGCACCATGGACGGTTGGGGTCACTGGAATTTCATCTGTTTACCCCTTATAACACCTGCCCCAGTGACCAGTAATGGTGACAATCTCTGGCATTTTCAGGATTTGAGAATCTATCGATAGACTTTTTCACAAACGTTAGCTCAGTCTATCACCCCATTGCCGGGAAGGAAGCAGGATTTTATTGGGGATGGTGATACAAGGGAAGCATTTGGAACAATATTTTGTAGCAGTTTGGAGGTAAAGGTCAATCATCTGTTGTCTTGAACTTCTCTCAACATTGTGTTTTGTTTTTTTTATCAGAAAAGAATCCATTATCTATTTAGACAATATCCTTTTTCACAGAAGTCTTTAAGATTGTTTTTGTAGCTGTGGCTTAGCAGGACAGAGCTGGGTCATCTATGAAATCATTTCCTATGTGTCTCAGTGCTTCTCTTGCTGTTGATGGTAGATGATGGATCAGGTTTTTATGGCTCAACATAACATCTCTGGTGCCATGGTGATCTACATGGCCAAATCCCAAAGGAGGGAGGCTTCTGAGGACTGTACCATCTAAAAGCTCAAACAAGAAGGTGCGGCCATCAGAGAAGTCCTTTGGGAAAAAATGCCTCTGCATTTGAGTTGGAAGTCACATTTCTAGACTTGCTCCTCTAATCTCTGATGTTAGCAGTAAGCAAATGTGCTGTTAGGGTATCAGGACTGGAGTAGGCTAAACTAGAATTGGATTGGGAAAGGTATGCTAATGGGCAATGGGGTTTATACATTTTCATGAAATAAAACAAATAACTTGCTCCCTTGGGTGGAGTCAGAAACATGGCGGCTTCTACCCCTGGGTTTCATTCAGGCACCAGGATGTTAATGTTTTTTTTCTAATATTCTGCAAGACTCTCACTCTTTTATCCCTGATGAATAAAGGGCGACTTTACCAAAAGTTGTGTGTATCAGGGGTTCAGGTAATAGTAAGGATGTGATTATCCCATCTCAAATGAGTCTTAGAGAGATTTTCCTAATATTCATAAGGGTTCAGATTTAAGATGGAATTTCAGTCCAATTCTTTTGATATCAGGCTTTCTAACTATCAACCCAATTTTAAGTCCCCTCCATTGCTGTTGTGCCTGCACACAGAGTGTTCAATAAAGCTTTGTTGAACTGGATTGAATGAAACTGGAGGCCAAAGAGGAATTTAGATCTGCCTTTCCAATAAAGGCAATTTTCTCTGTACCAGATTTTCAGCTTCCTATTCTGCCTCTGAGTTCATTTGATAAGAGACTAGATTTGGGCTTGTTTTAGTAGATAAGTTCAGTTAATATTTGTTATAGGAAAGTGGGATTAGTGCAGATAGGTGGGGAATGAATTATACATTCTCTGTGCAACTGAAGGTTGTTAGAAAAACGTGCAGCTGCCAGTGGTTTCTGAGTGAGCCATGAGCAGAGAAGGCTGGAGGTGATTTCCAAATGTTCCACTTTCTATTTATTAGATTCACTTTGGAAATGGTGAACTGGAATGATTAGGTTCTTCACTCAAATGAAAAAAGAACTTTTTCAAAGAGAAAGTGACACATATCTATGTAAATATGGAGAAGGCAATTCTGAAGGCTGGCAGAGAGTGCAGGCAAAGGGGGTTGGAGAAACACAGGAGCTGAGTTGTGGGTATATTGAGTCAATATAGGTAAGAAGCCAAAAAGAAGGGTGAGACATAGGAAGAGTCAACTCAACTGGCAAAACAGACCCTGGCAAGAGAAGCCATTCTAATGCAGAGTCCAATTGACACTGACAATATTACAGGAACAGAAACTCTCTGTACAATGCAACTTGAGGTTAAGATTGGGTAGTAATAATAGCTAATAGGGCATCTTTCATCCTGCAATCCCATGTGCCAGGTACTGTGCTAAGTACTTTGCATGAATTACCACATTAAATACCCCCATGGACCCCTATGTTCCAGGGACAATCATACACAATTTACAGATGGAGACATACTCAAAATACTTTGATCTCTTTGTCCCAACTTATAAGCCCAAAGTGGAGAACTCAAATACAATCTCAGATAGAGTTGGTGTTGGACTGTTATGGATCACAGTGCATCATAGTGCATGTAAGCTTCTTTGGAAAGGAAAACCAGAGAGTGAGCATGAATGTTATTTGAAGTGCTCTATAGGGAGATGCATTTGAAGCACTAAGACTTGGGATTTTTATGGGGTTCTTAAGTCCTTTTCTATCATTAGGAAAACACTGTTTTGAAGAGGAACTATCCATTCCTCATCAGATCATGGGGCTCAGATTAAGGATGATTGTCTTTCTCTATTTAGGATTGACTTATACAAAAGCAGGGAAAACATGGACAGGTAGATACTAGTAGGGTTGACCATGTTGTTCCAATGAGAGAGGCAAAAGAGGGAAGATTGTTTGGTTGTCACTCATTATTATATACCCTATCAGTTCTGTTTCTCTGGAGGATCCTGGCAATATAATTCAGGATATGGAAGTATAGAAATTGGATCTTTCTAGGTGATGCTGATACCCAGGAGAGAAGATAGAGTAATTTCTAGCTTGTCCAAGGCTCCTTCTGTATAATTGTTCACTTCATGTTGCCTCCCAATAATAAATTCTACTTCACAATTTAAAAAGGAACTGCAGATTTGAGGTCTTCATAAAATTAGATGAGACCTAAATTTGGCAGCCAGGTCCCTACTCAGATGTAGAGAGAACCATGGGCCCCGCCAATGTCCAAGGGAAGGGAGTCTCTGCTGTTTATTCAACACATACTATGCAACAAGCATGCTCACACATCTTATCTTTTTTTAATCTTCACAAAATATACCCTTGTCTCCACTTTTAGATGACAATCAATGCTGCTGAAACCCAGAACTCACATTCTCACCATGACAACAAGCTCGCATCCTAAAACTGGGCCAAAGAATGGATGGAATGCACTCCCAGATTCTTATCCAAAACTCCTAGTAGGAGAGAGTCCAGGGGGCTGAGATGTGTAAGACTGATGGGTTCTGCTTAGGACCCTGATTCCAGTCTCACATCTCCTGCCTTGCCTTGTGCCTCTTTATCACCAGCCCCATATGCCTATGTGGTACACATGAGCCCGGGGAAGATGCCAGGCCCTGGCATGCAATGCTTGTTTTATAGCCAAGCACACCTGCTTCCTGCAGCTTGCCAGACCCTTTAGCTACTGGCTGTTGGGATGGATGATTTTCTATCTCCCTTTAGACCCCATGCCTGTATTTAGTTTGCATAGAAGAAATAACTCCTCTATCCCCCCCTGTCTCCTTCCCTCCCTCTCTCTCTCTCCTTCTCTCTTTCTACCCATGTCTTCTCTTTCTCTCTCCCTCTATCCTTTCCTTCCCTCTTTTTTTTTTGATAGGAATTTGTTCTCATTTTACAAAGATAAAAAAAGAATCAAAACCTTTTCTGAATGCTTTTGCTGACACTTGTAGATAGGGCCCATTTCATGCAAAAGGCCCGTGCCTCTGGCCTATTCCCCTTCATCCTTCATTTGGTTCTCCTACCCATCCATTTTCCTTGTTGCTTTTTCTTCCTGCAGGATTTTCACCAAGCCCTAAACACAGGTGTTTGTTCTGACTGATGCTCTGCTGTTTGTCATGCAAATAGGATTTTACTTGAAACATAATTTTAATTTGATAGATGTTCTGGTTGTTTGTCATGCCAGCAAGATCTTGCTAGCAGACATTTTTATCCAACTTTGATAATTCCCACATTCCCACAGTTCCTCCAATCATTTGGTCTTGTTATGTAAGACCCAGGATTTAGTGGAATTAAAACCACTTTGATTATATTCATTAAATTCATCATCCATAACATTTTCACATACCTCATAAATGCATCTTTATAATGGATTTTTTAAAATGGCTAAAGATAACAATGATTTTTCAATGTTTGAAAAATACATATGTACACATACATATATACATATTTATACATATGTATGCACATATACATACATATCTACAATGCTATGTTCTTGAGTTTACTTTTCATTTATATTCATAATAATAAGACTTATTTTGTTCATTGATAAAAACAAACAAGGGATCTAGATCCTGATGTTGAGTTTCAGATACAGAGAAGAACATCAGTAGTGAAGATCTGGGGTTGTTGGAATGCCATATTCCTGGATGGAAAGGTGAAAAGAGTCCGTAAACAGCTGTAATGCAGAGTGCAATAGGAGTTGGGGTGTGCAGAGGATGCTAGGGATCAGCCCAGGGAGCAGAGGAGGAGTGCCTCATTATCTCAGGATAATTCACACTGAGGTCAGACAACTAAAAGTGAATCCATGGAAACAAAGAGGCATATTTTGGGAAGAAAATAAAAGCAAGTTTGACTGGGATAATGTATGAGAAATGAAACTGACTTTGAAGCTCATTGTGATGAGTTTTTCCTGTGTTATATTTAAAAATCTAAGCTACAAGTGCAATTGAGATTTAATTCGTAGGATGAACAAATAATAGATTAAGTTGGTTTCATTGTTTTGAAGGTGGCTGCATTTTATTATAGACATATGGGATTGGGATAAGTATTCTTTCCTTTCCAACAGTTTTTCATACCACAACCTTAAAGAAAGAACTGTTTTAAAAAGTATTTAGTACTTTAATCACCATTCCAAAAGCCCTTCTTAATCTTTTGATAATCAAATTAGTTGCTTTTGAGATACTTTAGGATTCTCTTTATAGTTTGTCCTTTCTTCAGTTGTTAACTGATTAAATTCTGCCATCTTCTTATCTACCAATGGTTTTACAGAAGAATTGGAAAATTCTGTAAGACCACTTTTAATACTGTGTATTGTATTCTTCAAGTTGGAAATACCATATCAAAACAACAGATGCATTTATAACTGAGAATCGAACCAACCAAAACATTGACACGGCATATCAAGGTGAATGCCAGTGTTAAAAGAGAGATAAGTGAGAGTAGTGACTCATATTATAGATGACTATTTCATTAAGAAACATTTTTTAGATTTTTTTCAACTTTTGCTTTCCTTGAAACTGTGTGACTATGGGGGCAAAAACAGGAAGAACTGAAGCAGCTGTAAGATCTTCAGTCAAGAATCACATCTAAGGGGTGTTTGGTGGGTTGGCAGCAAGAAGAAAGGGAGTGCTCAAAATCCAAAGATGCAGGAAATAGACCAGAAAGTGGAATGTCAGGGTCACTGGCTTATTCCACAGGCCCTGGGTGAGGCTTACATTTGCTGAATGTGGTTGCTTCTGGGGGCTGAAGTAGAAATGATGGACACCCTAATATTGCCATGATATCAGAGATTAGCCTGTAGGAGGTTGTATTAGGGAGTGTTCTTAGGGTCCACACCTGTGGCAGAAAAAGGAAGGATTTGGCAGAGGGTGATGACAAGTTGCAACATAGTCTTATCAGAAGCTTCAGCCAACCTTTGGAGGCTGGGATGAGCCTTCAGAGTTGCTCTGAGCTGAGGGTGAGGGATCTGATTATGCCTTCACATTGAGCAGTCAGTCCCAGGATGTTGATATGAGTTTGGGCAGGAGCCCTGTTTGGTGGAGGCAATCTCTATAGGATGCTAATGGGTGAGGCTGTCTGGGAGGACATCCTTGAAGCTTGAGATGATAATAATAACTTATGTTTATTGAAAGCTTACTATTTACTACATGTATGCCATCACTACTTAAGGTACTTCATTTGAATTAGTGTTTTTTTTTAACTTATAACAAACTTATAGAAAGATGCTGTTTCATCCTCACTTTAAAGATGATGGAATTGAAGTTTAATTAATAAATGGAATATCACTGAGCCTGCTGTTTATAGTCCAATACCCTGCTCAAATTATCCCCATTTATTAAACAACTCCGGGGAAGTCTCCCTCATCACCAAGCACATCACATGAGCTATCCTTCTTCAAGTCACACATTCTTCATCCAGCACATTGTGGTACCATTATTTCTTCTTCTCCTTCCACTTTTTTTAAAGTTAAGTGTGCCTTACACAGCACATTTCTTCTCTATTGTTTCCTATAAGGAAGGGATACCTATTGCTCCATATTACAGAGGAAAACATGAGATCATTTCTTCATTCATTTACAATGTCAAGAAGTAGATAATCAGCATTATTGTAAAACATAAAATGTTCAAAATTTAGGAAGTGTCAGTAATAAACCCATTAAACAAAGTAACTTCCCTCAGCAAGCTTATAGCCCAACTACTTACAGAAGTTAGACGGCTCCCAAAGTCATAGATGAGGCAACGGGCAACATTGGGGCTGTCACTTTGACCTGTGGACGCCAGAATCCCCATGCTTGCCCCTAGGCCACCTGAATCTCAGGCCTTTATTACCACCTTCCGTCACCTGAACACAAAAGGAGGGGCTGCTCCAGGAAAATCTGTGTTGGTCCTTCCAGTCCCCACATTAATGGCTTTATAAGGCAAAGCCTCCTAATTCTCAGTTCTTCTGACCAATTGCTTGTATCTTCACACCTTAAGGCTTCATGCATTTTTATTTATAGCCTTATCTATAATAAGCCTGGAAAAATATGATTCGGATTTTGAAGTGATGATTTCAGTGCAATGCCTACCCCCAGGTAGGAGCATGAACCAAAATACCTTTAGCACTTTTATTCTACCCTGGGTGCTCTCTCTTCTTCAGAAGCAGAGGTACCGCTGGAGTGGAGAAAATACCAAGGATGAGTGGAAGTGATACAGATGTCTAGAAAGGCCTGAAATAAGTAATGAAGAATTGATCCCTACAGAATGGATTTCCACAGTCACTACTGTACTCAGTGGGTGCCCAACAATGAAGCCTTTTTTACTGTCCTATCTGAGGTTCTCTTGGTTGATGGAAGTTGAGTGGCTCTATAAGTAGTTTTCTTACTCTCTACAGTTATGACAATTGTATACTATTTCCTTCTCAACTACTTGAGCTAAATATGTAGTAACTAACAATACTTAGGTAGTAAATGCAGACATATAGATATCCTGGACCAGGAACACGGGAAGAAACTACTAAATCTAATAATTGCTCAACTGTGGCTCTGTCATCATTTAAGAATGCCTTCTTTTAATGCTTTATATTAATTATGTTCACATATACTGAGCAGTTTTAAAATAACAGTGTAAAGGATGAGTTCTATCATGCCTGAGTTTCCTATTATGTGCAAGAGGTTATGTAAAGCAATTTTTAAATGATTTTATTTACTCTTCCAACTTGATACCAGATACAAATTATTTGAGAACCTTTAGATTTTAGAGGCAGAACCAGAATTTGGGCACAGGTTGTCTGTGGCAAAGATTGCTGAATTCCCTAGTCACAGTGGTTCACCATAATCCCTGTCGATGGACAGGTAGTTAAGTGTTGTTATATGTATCTGTGTCTCCTGGGTCTTTTGAGCATGGCATGGGGCTCTCCAAGGCTGGTTGGTAACACCATTTCTTGAGCTCCAACCATTGTCAGGCATTGGACTTGACACTGAAAAGGGAAATATAAAACAGATGCAGATCCTTCCTCAGTGGGTTATAATTTGTAAGGAAATAGTACTGTACCATTTGTAAGTGCTATGGCAAAAATATATGCAAAAATATGGCTTACATTATTGAATTTTATCATACTAATCACCTGTGAGATATACAAGAGCAGGTATTATCTCCTATTTTGGGGTCTGAGTTTACTCATTTGTCAAATGGATTCCTGGTTGATACAGTATCTGATATAAGATGGCCAAGTACTACTTATAAGTAGCAGACCGTACTTCTGGTCCAGTGTAATCTCATGTATACAACCTCATGTATACAATCTCATGTATACTATGCAACAACTGCTACTATAAAGTTAAAAAATACAATGAAAAAGTCTACCTAAAGTGCTATGAAAATTGGAGGAAAGTTAAGAAAAAGGGAAGGGATAAAGGAAAATATAAAAGTGTGTAGCAGGTCTTCTATGCATGAAGCATTTGGTATATTTTAGTTTTTCAAAGAGAAAGAGAAGTAAAACATTTCAATCAGGATTTCATAGCTAGTAAGTGATAGAGTCAGGAATGAAATTCATGCCCTTTTTACCCTCAAACCTGGCTTCATTTCACCACCCACATTCCCAGTCTCAGAGAAGGGCATTTTAGCTGAGAGGAAGACTATTTCTGGGGCTCAGGAGTACTGTAGTGTCGCTCTTAGGACAAAGACTAAATTCCATTTTTCTTTTTCAATGCATATCATTGTGCTAATTGATAGCAGGCCACAGTGAAAATAAAAACATTAACTTTACATCATTATGAAAGTTGTGGTCTTTTTCCTTTTGGTTCTGTTGATATCATTGATAATTGGATCAGACTCTGGATAGAATAAAAAATAAAGATAACTGTTCCAGCCGAGATGACTTATATATTTTGTTGCTAAATATAAGTGTTAACAAAGATAAACCACGTCTTTTTATTTAGGAAACCAGTGCTTGCCACACATTTCAAAGTAGAGGTTTACTTATAGGTGAAAAAAAAGGAGTGTTCATAAAACCAAAGGACAGAACTTATGGTAGTCTCTTGTTTTATTTTCTGGATTTTTCTGTGTCCGTTCTTTTTGGGCACCTGGAAAAATAGAACTTCCAAGGCCTTTGAAGTAAAATGGAGCTATCTGAATATTTCTGGTCAATGGATTATGAGCAGAGGTGATAAGGACCAAGCATTCAGTTACTAATGTGAGAGCCTCCAGTTCTCTCATTCTACTGGTGTGTTAACTGGAAATGTTTGAATGTTTGTTGCTTCACCAGCCCAGGTTCCTGAGTGATTCCAATGAGAAAATCCTCCACCTACACCCTCTGTCTTTGCTGATGTACAATGGACATGTAGTGTAAATAAGAAATGCAAGGGTTTTTCTTATTTTAAATATTGAGCTTTTGAGGTCATTTGTTCTTGCAGCCTATCCTGGTCTAGCCTGACTTTTACAAGAATAGTAATGGGACACACTTAGTAAAAATGTTGGTTTTCTTTCTCACAATCCTCTTTAATATCAGCTTTTTTATTTTTAAAAATTTATTTTTTAGAGAGGGGGGAAGGGAGAGGGGGAGAGAGAAACATCATGTGAGAGACATTGATTGGTTGCCTACCATATGCACCCCCACCGGGGATCACCCACAATCTGGGTATGTTCCCTGACTGGGAATCAAACCAGGTATCTTTTGGTGCATGGGATAATTCTCAAACAATGAGCAACACTGGCCTTTCTTAAAAATTTTAAGAGTGCTTCTTGAACTCAAAAGTACCAATTCCTACAGACAGAGAGTATTGCCTCTTTTATTTTTTTTTAGATCACCTCCAAATCTATTTCTGACACAGCAGAATTAGAAATAGAGTAATAAATCTGAAGGAATTATTTGATAATATTTGGCTTTGGATTTTGCATTCTGATTGGGGATAAACTGGGGATAAGATCAGAATTTCTATTTTATTTGGAAAGCATGCCAGTCAAAGGTGTCACTTAACACATGACCATTTTAAGATTTTCATTTCTCATGAAATCACATGGGCCAAAAGCCACATCAATCAATACAATTACTACGGCCTCCCGAGTTTCAAATATTATTGAGAACTCTATTTATTTTGGATTTTGCCATCCTTAGAAGCATAATAAAGCATGATGTACTGACCTCAGATTCACCTTTCTCATAAAAAGAGACTACAAAGAGATGGTTTTATGTGATTGAAAACCAATAGTTCAAAATTGAAAAGATA